TGTTCTTCTATGTGACTCCATTACTTCTATCTGCCATCTGTCCCACCTCTTCAGTGTCTCCCTGGAGTAACTCACATGTCTAGATTCCTCCTCCTCTTCCCTGCTCTCCCTGGAAATCCTGCCTAGCCATTCCTGCTGAGTTATTGGCTATTCAGCTCTTTATTACACCAATCACAGAAATACAACTTCACCCAGTGTACAAATATCCACAGCATCTGGGGTCACAAGAGTGGGAAAGCTAGGCCTGACCTTCACTGGCTGCAGCAAGTGACAGTGGGCTGTGCTTCCTGCCTGGGTAGCACACTAGAGCTGGCCCTATTGTTGGGGGTATAGGTGAGCCAGCCCTGAGGGCATGAGAGTGAAAGGACTGACACCACCCCCCTACCCTGCTATAGCAATCAGGAGAGAGGCCCTGTACCTTGCTTAGGCAAAACAGTAGAGCTGGCCCCTAGCTATATGAGAGGGGGACCTAGATCTGAGGACCAAGAGCCCGAGAACTGGCCCTGCTCCTTGCTGTAGGCTGCACTGGGTGAGCTAGCTGAGGCAGTGCTGGCAAGCTCATCTGGTAGTGACAATGAGGGAAAGCTAGCAAGATGACTAACCCAGCTTCCACCTAGGCCCAGAACCAGGGATATAAGTCGGCCCACCCCAACATCTCTGAATCTATGAACTGTTGGAGCCTGGGAAAGAAAGGTTCGAACCTAAGACCTAAAACTGCAGGATCTCCATGACACAGGACAACAGGATGTCCAAGAGGAGCTCCAGTGAGAGCCCCTAATGGGAGATGTAGCAGAAGTCAGAGGAGGCCTTAAGCCAGACCAGTGACTCTAGAAAAGATGAATGGACTGAAGGATAGATAAACTGTGGCTCATTGGCTCACACTGCAGCTTCCACGAGATTCTTCTTTTTGTTGTGTTTATTTTTTCTTTTAAATTTGACTTTGATTTGAGGGGAAGGTTGCAGAGCAGAGGGCAGACGCAAGGAGACGAGGAGGCAAGTAGGATCAGAATGCATGATGTAAAAATCAAAGAATCAATAAAAGTTAAAAAAAATTAACTCTGTGAGCAAATGTTATAGCCAATCCAGAGACCACAAAACACTGTCTTGTTTCTAATAACTAGCTAGGTGGGGTGGTTTGAATGAGAATGACCCCCATAGGTCCACATATTTGAATAGTTGGTGCCATCAGCAGAACTTTTGGGGAAGGACTCAGAAGCGTGGCTTTGGTGTCATTGAGGTCCAGCTTTGAGGAAAAGCCTTCCACCATCCCCAGTGTGCTCTCTGCTGTTTGTGGATCCAGATGTGACCTCTTAGCTGCTTTTCCAACACCATGCTTGCCTGCCCACAGCCATGCTGGCGATGGACTCCTATTCCCCTAGAATTGTCGGCTCCAATTAAACTCTTCTAAAAGTTGCAATGGAAATGGTGTTTTATCATAGCAATAGGAAGTTACCTAAGACATAAGGCATAATGGTGTACCCCTCTAACACCAGTATTTGGGAGATAGAGGCAGAAGGATCAGAAGTTCAAGGCTATCCTCAGATACAGTAGACCCTCACCCTCACCCTCAAAGAAAACCAAATCCAGAAACAATTACTAACTGCATAATGTCTTTTAATTTTGCTTATGTTCTTTTTCTTAGCATTACAACCCTGAACTTCAATTTTTCTTCTCAATTAAAAACGTATGCTTTAGCCAGGTGTGATGGCACACTCCTTTAATCCCAGCACTCAGGTGGCAAAGGCAGGCAGATCTCTGAATTTAAGGTCAGCCTGGTCTACATGCAAATCAAGTTCCAGGACAGTTAAGGCTGTTACACAGAGAAATCCTGCCTTGAAAAACAAAAACAATAATCAAACATATGCTTTAAAATTGATCAGAAAGTTAAAAATTTAATAGCTACACGGAGAATATTTTAAATCTTGCAAAGCAAGATACCAGCTTTACAATCGTTGCAGAAAATGAAAGCATACAAATTTTCATTTTGTTCTGCATTTTAAAACACCATTCAAGCTTTCAGGAACAGTTTTTTTCCCCAAGGTTTATTTATTATGCACACAATGTTCTTGTGACATACATGACTATACACCGGAAGAGGGCACCGGATCTCACTATAGAAGGTCGTGAGCCACCATGTGGTTGCTGGGAATTGAACTCAGGGACCTCTGGAAGAGCAGCTAGTGCTCTTAACCTCTGAGCCATCTCTACAGCCCCAGGAACTGTATTTTTTAAAAACCAGGGCTTACTTAGCAGTGGTCTAGTGCTGCAGGATATTTGACCACAGTGTAAAAGGCACCTTTTGGTTGGTTTAACAAAGTGCTAAATGGCCAATGGCTAGGCAGGAGAAGATAAGCAGGACTTCTGGGGAGAAAGAAGGACTCAGGATGAATCCTGAAGGAGATGCCGTGAGATACTGAGGAAGGTGGACATATAGAAAGGAGAAAGTAGCCAAGTGGCAGAACGTAGTTTAATAGAAAACAAGCTAATTTATGTTGTAAGAGCTAATTGCGAACAAGCCTAAGGTAAGGCCAAGATTTCATAATTAATAGTAAGTATCCACAGCATTATTTGGGGAGCCAGTGATTCTACAAGAAAGACTGCTACAGTCTAATGAATGGGATGGTGTTTCTGTACTCAGATGGATTTAGTGTCATGAATCTGGTTGCCCAGTGCTCTCAGGACAGGCCTCTGGCTGCAGCAGCCAGGGAGTATGAGGGGAAAGTAAGTTGAAAATAAAACATGGAGGCAGAGAACACAGATCTTCAAAACAAGCTCATAGAGTATGAAAGGAGTGACTGAAAGCTGCACAGTACAGCTTACAGCTACTGGGGAAGCAAACAGAGGCAACTGGACAAATATGAAGAAATAAAGTCCATGAGAGTACGCCCTTCAAAGAGAAGCTGAGCTCAGGAGTTGGATGGTAGAGTTTGAACTGTGAATGTGAAACTATTAAACAGAAAATGCAGCTGGAGCAGCCAGAAATGTACCTAACAGAAGCCATGGACAGGAAGGGAATGACCTAGAAAAAGTTATAAAACCTTGAGCAGAATTAGATGAAGCAGGGCTCACTGACCATTGGCTGGAACAGAAGCTGGACCTCCAGGACTTCTCCATCACAAACTAGAAGAACCCCAGCTAATGTCTGAGCCGTGTGTGCTCAACAGCATGTCTTTGGGGGTGCTGGCTCTTTGGACTGAGCTAACTAAAATGGAAAGTGTGAAGACTCCCTCAAAGAAGAGAATGAACTGCAGTGCAAACAAGAGCAACTCGAATGTCTCAACACTCCCTACTGCACCAGGCAGCCCCACTTAAAGAGGAGTGAGAGAAGGAAGCACAGTCTTGCTGTAATGCCTTAGAGAGCTCATACAGAAAAATCAAGACCTTCAGGTACAGCTGGGTCAGCTCTTCATAAGCCTGGGACCCCAACAGTGACTGCTTGCAGAGGTGGAAGACTGAAGGTGGCAATGAAACACCAGCTCAACCTCATGAAAGTCGGGTACCAGTCACTGAAGAAGGAAAATCCATCCACCAGAGAGCAGATGAACAAAATGAAGTCACAAATCTCCACACTGCTGAGGAGAGAGTCTCAAACTGAATTTGAACAACAGGAGCAGTTATCTGCCATGTTGGAACAAAGAACGGTAAAATAAAACACCTTGTTAGGTAAAATCAATAATCTAGAGAAATCTAAGAACTTACAGGAAAGTATGGAATATAAGTCTTCCACAGCAGTCAACCCTTGTTGTCTAGAGGACAGCATCTTTACACAGATTTACTTCAGCTAAAACAAGGTAAATTACACAAAGGAAATAAAAACACAAAATGCAAACTGTCCATTCAGAGGTTGAAAGCATGTTTGGGAGCCAGCAGACCCTGTATTTAGTGGAAACTGCAGACGAAAGACGCTTGCAGCTTTCACAAAGTAAAATATGAAACTGAGAGCTAAACTAGATGAATTACAGGTCAAGTAAGAACAGCAAGAGAAAATCGAAGTACTCAGACGTGTGGGGTGCTGCCACTGGGTATGACTGCCTCAGAAGAAACACCTGCTGCCAGTGCCATCGGGGACATCTCTAGATTCCCACTTCTGAGAGAGGAAGAATCTTGTCTTAATAGCTTAAGCGATAACACTTTGCAGTGGGAACAGACAGCCTCTTCAGGTGTTCAGCCAGCCAGTCTCTCTCCTCACAAGAGCCTGCCTCTGGATAGGCCCCAAAGGAAAATGTGTGAAGCTTGTGGATGATCCAGCCAACACTGAGGCCTTATGTGAACAAAGTGGGAACACCCCCGGCTCTCCCAGCTTAACTGCTAAATCAGGCTTCTAAGATGTGGCTCCAAATGACGCTGTAACGATAAGCGACACACTTACTGAAAGTAAAACTAAGTATTTATTGTAGAAATTACTCACAAGATACCAAACAAGTAACCCAGATGAGCCCCCCCTGCCGAACCGGAAGCCGAACTCTGGGAAAAGAGACCAAGACTTCCTGTGTGCTGTCTTTTATGCCTTCCCCCGTAACGCCCCCTAGCCATGCCCAAAAGTGGGCCTGGCTAGTGACGTAGTTCACTGCCTATGTACGTACGTATATGTCTTTAGTCATGCCTAAAGTGGGTGTGGTTAGCAGTGTGGTAAACCGCCCTTTTATTACCTCATCTGTATGCGCCTCTAGTAAGTCACATGGTTAATGGTGGCATACAGGCTTTCTCCTACACTAAGAGAAGTGAAGGAAAGGAACTACAAGTAAATTGCAAAAATTTACTTATTGTTGTCTTATAAAAATAGTAAATATGGCCTGAAATACATACTATTATGTTTTATTAGTTAAAAGGGCCTATGCTAATTCATATATATATAATTTAGATTTTCATGATTCAAGCATACTAAAATAATTTTGAAAATTAAAATGAAAAAAAGAACACCATTCATTTTTTACTTTAAAATTTTCATTCATTCAAAAATATTTTGAAGCCCAAATATTCAAGACACATGGAGAAATTTCTTAGTGATTGAACTAAGAGCTGTCTTTACTGAAGCGAAGTAGGAACTCAATCAGGGTCCTCGTGGGCCGCCCACTCATGCCTTTGCGCAGGTACGGGACCTCATCTTTGTTGGTCATCACACCTGCTATGTCTAAATGTGCCCATTTCGAGTGAGTCACAAACTCCCGCAGGAATGCAGCGGCTGTACATGCACCTGCAGATCTGAAGAGAAAGGCAAAAAAGGGTTACTATACCTCATGCCAGGCTGCACTGAACATTTCATTATGCTACCTGAAGAGCCAATGGGATGCTGGGATAGAGTCATGATGTACAAGTCTCACAGCCTGTGCTCCATCTCTGGAGCTGACATACATGTGGACGGAGAGAACCTACTCTACAAGGTTGTCCTCTAACCTCCACACGTATGCCACAGGACCATGGCAGACACATCACCCACACCCAATACATGCTTTTTAAAAATAATAGTACATTTGTGTGGGCTAGGTCTACTACCAAAAGGAAAAGTTAAGCTCATGTAACCTATTAAGAAATTAACAGAGAGGGGCTGGAGAGATGGCTCAGTGGTTAAGAGCACTGGCTGCTCTTCCAGAGGGCCTGAGTTCAATTCCCAGCACCCACGTGGCAGCTCACAGCTGTCTGTAACTCCAGTTCCAGCAGATCTGGCATCCTCACACAGACATATATGCAGGCAAAGCATCAATGCACATAAAATAAAAATAAATAAATTATATATAAAAAAGAAATTAACAGAGAAACCACTTCCAGAATATTTATATTTCTGGGATAAATGACAAATTCTAGATTATTTTTCTGTATACAGAAATAATTCAGGAATTATTTATTAATTCTATAGTTCTCATCACTTTTTCTCATCTGCTTAAAATAATTTTTAAATTTGAAAATGTCTAACATTGAGAACCTGCTAGAGAAATATTTTCAGTATGTAACACATCAGTAAGCTTAGAAGCAGCACTCCCTCGAAAGGAACTGGTTAGTGTTAAAATCCGTAAGAAGGATGAGACTAAGGAGTAGTGTGGCAACAATCCAGGATGACTGGAAAGAGACATTTAGGTAATTTTACATACCGGTATTTTCCAATGTTATTGACATCAGCAAGCTGGCAGTCTACAACTTGTCTTGTATAATGTTCAAACAGAGGCATCCTCCAGACTCGGTCCCCAGTGTCTATGCTAGCCTAAAGAAGACAACATGAACATAAGGGTAGTTTGATGTGTGAAGGAAAGAGCTGTTCCAGCCTGTGATTACAAAGCAGGGCTGTGAAAATGATGTCTAAGAAGAGTGCTTTAGGTCTCTAAAAGATTCACTTCAGAATTAGGAAACAGGAGTATTATAAAGTAATGCACACATCTGTAGGCTCAGTTTGAACCTGTAGGCTTTGTGGGTTTGACTAGGGTAGAAGACTCTGAAGAGCCTGGTTGGTCTGCTGGAGACATGCATGCCAGGCCTCCATCACTGAAGACCAGGTCCTGAGCTAAGATGACGTCATCCATGCCTTGCTAGCCTCTCACTCACTCTCACTCACTCACACTAACTGAGCTTTAAAGCACCACCAAGCCACAGTGCTAACACCTCCTCCATCAAAAGGCACAGGCTTTCCAGAGAGCCAGGCAAGCAGACCACTTCACTTCACTCATTTTCACAAGTAAAAAAATGAAGCTTCAGAGTGAAAGGCCAAAAAGCAGCAGGAGAACCTGTTATTTTAGAACCTAAGTACATCATCAATGATAGCCACCTCTGGGAACACAGACTGCCGATTGTTGACTTAATTATCCCTGTGAACACATGACTTTAATTAGGAAAATAAATAACTGGAAAAACTCAAACAGTATGTGTGCCATGATGATAAAGGACACTGGGCAGTGTGAGAGGCCAGATTTTCCTGGTTCAGCCAATAAGTAGACGGCTTGGCTACTACAGTGGCTGAGAGTGAGCTTTATAAACAGAAAGGCAGAGAAGGGGAGGCACTGTCAAGTGAGAAGTAAATCTAGGACCTTAAACAAGCCCCATAATGTATTCAAGGACTGTGTCTATTCCCCATGGTAAGCTGCCATTGACTGCTTGGGAAAGGGTACAGGAGCTGCCAGATGGAGCTGCCAAGCAGCCACATGGAGCACTAGAGACACGGCTGTTGGCAGACGTGGAATAGACAAGTTTTACCAGGAGGACTCTGAGCATGTTATCGGGACAGGAATTAAACACTGTCCAAAGAGGAGGACAAAGCATACAGCTAGCAAGAGCTGAAGCAGGACAGTCACAAACGTGCCAGAAGAGAAGATGATCACAGAAACCAAGGACTAGGGACACCAAGAAATCATTGTCACCTGCTGGCCAGAAACAGGTCAGGTTGGGCCAATAGTGGTATTGGCAGGTGAAAGCCAGCAGCAGAGTGACAGGGTAATGTATAAGGGGGAAGGGAGGACGGAGGATGACTGGAAAGGGCACGGAGCCTAGCAGTGAAGGGACTCCTCATCACCGACTCACTCAGCAGGGGAGCTGTGTTTACAATGCTGAACCCACACACATTCATCGGAAGGCTATTCTTTCACAAAGGTGGCCTCATCCTCTGCAAGTCAGGGATTATGAGTCACAGACATGTAATTTGTCAGTTGTTTTAACATCAGTCTGAGGCTACACGGACAGGGAAGTGGTATCAGACCCATAATTTAAGAGTATCTTTAGAAAACCCAAAGCCACTGAATCAAGTTTATTGCTATGACCTATTCCCAATTCAAAGGCAACCCAACAGGAAGAAAATCACTTTAACACAGGGTTTGAACAAGCATTTATCCAAAGGCCACAAAAATTATTATCTTTTTAACTTATGGGTATAAAGACCTACCTCAAATAGTTTGTTCCATAGCCAGGATGAATTGGTAAAAACTCCAGTGGCACCTGATCCCAGGGCTATGTCCATGGCACCTGTAAGGCAAAGTCTCTCAGGTCAGTGTCAGTCTCTCAAGGCCAGGAGGCTCCTGTTACTTAGACCACAACTGTGGTCTCTAAGTCTATAAATGGCTCCTTCATTACAAAATGTAGATAGGCTTGGGAAACTGTCAATTCTATAGCTAGTTATGCTTCTCAAACTAGAATTCCCCTTAATTGTGAAAAATGCAGAAAAGGAAATGATATCAATTATCCCATCCCATGCTTATTGTCACTTACTTTTGACAGAGTTCTACACAGCTAAGAATATGGCCTCACTATATGTCCTATATCCTTGGCCACCAGCACAGTCTGGGCACACAGCAGGAGCTAAATGCACGCTGACTGTCATTCATTTGGTATCATATATATATTATCAGATACTACAGCAGGTAGCAATTATTCAATGCCTCTGAGGCATCTCTGTGGGATATGAGTGCCACATTTTAGTCATTCATTTTAATGCCTTATTTTTAAAGTTGGTAGATTTTGATAACATTCATTTGTCCTCAAAAGTTTTCCATTAAGCTCATAAATATTCCCATCAGTTTTTAAATTTCTCATAAAAAGGATAAAAAGTAACTATAAACAACAGAAAATAATAGGCACAAATATTTAATGTAATACCTGGATTTCAAAGGATTTATAATATGTATTTGAAATACCGTTTTCTAGAACTCCAGATGCAGCAATACTACCCGACCCTTAATGACAAGGCACAGGACAACTGGCCAGCATTTCCACAGTGGCTGCAGGTCACCCATCTCTATCACTGCCCTCACCTTGCTATGGATGCCCCCTTGAAGCTTTGAGCTTTTAGCAACTGAGTAGGCAGACCAAAAGCTACAGAAATAATATGGCTTCTGCTCCAGTAAAGGCTTCCAAAACTCAAGAAAGATGAAAACAAAAGGACACAAAATTATCTGAATTTTCATCTTTAAAGAAGTACATACAAATTCCTAGGGAGAGACTTTGGATAGAAGACTGTGAGTTTTTGGATTGTGCAATAAGCCACTATCCATCTCCCCCAAGAAATCTCTTCATTTTCTACAGAGCCTCTATATCAAGGCCTGCCTTCAAGGAATGCCTGCCAGGGGAACACAGAGCTCCTTCCAGAACTCCCAAGTGTGAAGCAATGAGAACTGTCAAGTGTTGATGCTGAGGGCCAGGAACTCCCTGGAGACTGCATAGCTAGGAAGCAGTGTTATACCCAAGCTGGTCCAAAGCCGGGGCTTTCTTTGCACACCTGTCACACTGATGTGTGTCCATTAAACAAAGACCTGGCCACCACTATAATGTTTTCTTTACAATATGAAGTATAAGTTAAAGAAAACTGACTCAATACCAGATTAATCATAAATATATTATGATTAATATATTTAAAAAGCCACTGATTTTGAAACATTGATCTTTTCCAGATTTGTATTAGATGGCAGTCATAACAAACAAACAAGCAAACAAAAAACCTCTCTCTCTGTCTTTTTTTCTCTCTGTTTTAAATCTGGCTGAGTTGATCTGACCCATTTGTTAAGTTACTACTGGAGAACCAGAAAGATACTTAGTGCTTGATACCAAGTCTGATAATCTAATCAGATTCCCAAAACCCACATGGTGGAGGGAGACCAAATCATACAAGTTATCCTCTGAGCTCCACACATGCACTGTGGTATATGTGCACATGACAAAATAATTTTTTTTAGTAACTTTGGAATGCTTTAAAGCAACAGAACTAATATTAAGAACATTTTGTAACTACAAAGGCAATTCCTCTGGTGAAGGATCTTTGAATGTCAGTGGAGTGAACCAAACTTCAACAAAATAACACCCAGAGTACAGTGTGTGCACTGAACCCAAGACTTCCTTCAGACAAGATGGGGAAGATGAGGCTTGACCTGTTAAGGTGGCAGCATTGATGATGACCTTGGGATTGAAGGTGTGTGCATAACAGAGTGCATCGGCCAGGATGAGCCTCCCCTCAGCATCAGTGTTATCAACCTGCAAAGAAGATCAAAAAGAGAAAGGGTCAGATGACCTGAGGAATAAATATGAAAACCAGACACAATAGCATTTGATTTGAAAGTAGGAAAAGATCAGGGTGACATTTGTCACGAGGTAGTAAAAAGACACTTATATTTCAGCTATAGCAGGAACATTATCTAACCTGGAGGGTGATGCAGGAAGTCCCTGCCCTAGCTGATGACACCACACTGAAAAAGTAGAGGAATGTCTGGTCCATTTTAATGGCAAATGTTGTTAACGAGAGGAAAACTGGGCACAGATAACTGAAAGAGTAACAGGGCTGAGCGTGCACCATGCCTGAGACCCCAGTTGCCCTTTCTAAGCACCAAACAAAACAGACCTTAAAAGGAAGTTAAAACTAAATGGCAGCCTAGAACTCCAGACTCAAAACTCTGAAAACTGTGGCAACCCTTTCTAGCCCTATTTCTTTCCTTCAGCAAAGGGGCTAGGGTCTTGAGCAGTGTACAGTGTATATTTGTGCTCCACAGATGCCAGAGTACAGAGAGCAAGTGTAGCATCATGTTTTCCAATTGAATCTGACATGAGACAAAAGTCAGTCATGACACAAGCACTTAGAAAATAGCCCACACCTTACTGTTTGTCATGCTCTGTGGGTCAGGTTGAACATTCGTAATTTGTATGTATAGCACCATTAGTGGAAGGTACAACAGGGAATGAAAAATACTTAAAAATTTCCATCAAAAACGATTGTACTTTGCATGTAAATGTTCTTAGAACTAAAAGCATCACCCTGGCCCAACGTGCACTGGAGTCCCACATTCCTGGCAGGCTACAGTTGTGTGGCCAAGACAGGGTTCCTGGAAAAATGCCAGATCCCATGTTTTGTTGTTCCTCACAAACCTGAATGGTCTTCCCATTCCTGGCTCTGACAACATCGCCTGGTTTGTTGGCCTTGCCACTAGGCATGTTTTCACAAAGAGGGGCCAAACCTATTGAGAAAACATAAAGAAGAACATGAGACATGCCTGATTCAAAAATAACTTCCCATGGGACAAGAGGCTGCTAGAAAGCCATCAAAAGCATACCAGATACAAGCTTCCCTTTTACAAGTGACAAAACTTGGTATCACAAATGGCACAACTGAGGTCAGCAGGAACATGTGTAGCATGGTCTAACTGATTCTAATCGAGAAGAAATAAATGTAAGTTACAGGACAGCAGAACTACCTGGACCTTTCAACTGCCAGTGTCATGAAGGAAAGAAAGGAGGAGGAATGGGTGGGTGGGAATCTTTTGGCAGGAAAAGTAAAGGAACATGGCAACCAAATGCAATGTGCTATCTTTGCTAGAGATCTAGACTTTAAAACTAAATATAGGGGCTACAGAGATGGCTCAAAGTTAAGAAGAGTGTATACTGCTCTACCAGACGACCTGAGTTTGATTCTCAGCATCCAGTCTGTGACTCCAGTGTCAGAGACTCTGATGCAATCTTCTGGCCTCCATGGGCACCTGTATGCACATGTACACAGAACCACACACTGACACACACAAATATACATAATTAAAAAATAAACCCTTAGAAAATACCACATATAAACAAAATGAACTTTTTTTGGACTATTTGGAAACTTACTAGGTTATTGTATCGATTCTTTTGAAAGGTAACTGTATTACTATTACATAGAATGTTCTTTTCTTAGGAGACATGTTAAAAGTACTCAAGAGGTGGAACCATATTGAAATGTCAGCATCTTGACTTCCAATAATGAAGTTTTTTTAAAAAGGACTAATAACAGAACAAAAAGACTATGATGCTGAAATAAATGGCTAGGTAAGGGAGATTCCAGACAGACAGATTTAAAGTACCATTTTACCTTCCCACACAATGGATGAAACCCAACTCCCTCTTCCTCTTAATCTTGGTATTAGCAACGCTATAAACTCCCAGCACTGCTTCTGGAGGTTTGCCTGTGTAATACCAGGGGACCCTGTATACTAATTGCTTATTCTGTGTCAGGAAACTAATCAGCCACAGTCCTGTGCGTCAGTCAGTGAATGAGCCTGAGATAATGCCCTCCACTCCGGCTACTCAGTTTTTCTTGCTGGAGTAAAGTACAAACGTGACATATATGTTCCTGATGGCTGGCCACTTTTGCCCAAGTAAAACAAATCAATACAAGTTACAGCCTGCTGGCTGCAAAACACATTTAACTCAGTCACCTCAGACAGAAAACATTTATTTCAGCCAAATAGCTTCTGTTTGATGAAAAGCTACTTAAAAATGTCTTTTGATCTTTTTAGAAGGAAGGAAATGGCTTGATGTTGCAGTTCTATCATTTGACTAGACTTTGGAAGCACTTCAAAAAGCAACCCTTATCCTACTTACCTATGATATTAATAGGCAAATTGAGCTTTGCTGCAGACACAATGGCCGAGCATATTGTTGCAGCTCCTCCCATGTCAGCCCGCATGAGGTCCATATTTGCAGAAGGCTTGATGGAGATACCTCCACTATGTGGAAAAGGAGACAGTGTGCAACAATAATGACAGCAAAGTTGAAAGCCCAAATCACTTTCTTAAAAACAAAGACACGTCAGTGATATGGCTGAGGATAAAGGTGCCTGCTGCCATGGTGATGATCTGTGATGGATTCCTAAGCCACATGTTGGAAGGAGAGAACTGATTCCTCTGACTTCCGTATGACTGCTGTGGCATTTGGGTTTCCACATGTATATATACCACACATAATAAATAAGTAAAAATATTAAAAACAAACAAACAAACAAACCCCATGTGGTGCTGTGTGCCTCTCAATTCAAGAGGCTAAGGCAGGGTTTCAACGCTGAGGCCAGATGGCGTGACATAGCAAGACTGTTTCACAACAAAACAAAACCCCACACAAACTCAGAGCCCATTACCACACAAAAGCACCACATCCCTGCCAAAGAAAGTCAAATTCCTAAACTTGTGATCTGAATTACTTCAATTCTGCAGTCTTTATAAAGATAAAACATAATTCCAGAAATATGAGTAAGTGAGGCAGGTCCTTTAATTTCTGTTTGGATGAAACTTGACCAGGTGGCACTGCAAACCTCATCATATACTACCAATCCACATATACAGACTCATGTCTGCTCTCAGTAACACCTGATACCCACAAAGACTGTCTTTTAGAAAAAAAAAACTTTCTTGATTTGATTAACCCATGAGACCTGAAGGCATGGGCTATTAAAGAAAGCTGACAAGCTCCCAGAACACTGGAACATTCCTCTCAAGTACACAGGACAGACAGGTGATAGGTCTTCTGACACCTGCTGGTGGCAGATGGCTACTGAATGAGAAAAGGCATAAGGAAGGTATGTGTGATGTGCATGTATATTTGTGTAATGCATGCTTGCATGTGTGCGGGCATGACAAGCACTTTACCAACTGACTCTACTTGGTGGTATCACTTTGAACAAATAACTTCTGAATTGTGGTTTCCTCACCTGTTGGTCACAAAAGCTCACAGGGCTAGGATCAGAAACCATGATATATAAAATTCCTAACTGTCTTTGGCATATGTTAGCATTACAATTCAAAACCAGCAGCACGATATGTTTCCTGTAACGTGCAGGGCCTGATCAAACCCCATGCTTATGAACCACACTATACATACATAGCATTCACTAAACTAAAGCGTACAGACACCCCCAAGAAGTACCTGTCAAAGGTAATTCCCTTCCCCACAAACACCAGGGGCGCTTCACTTGCATTGGGGCTGCCTGTGTAGTGGATTTCCAGGAAGACTGGTGGTTCTTCAGATCCCTTGGCCACACTAAGGAACGAGCCCATTTCTTGTTCCTCTATCCAAGACTTGGGTCTACAGGGCAAAGAAAGAGATACAGTTACGTATTCCAAAACAACTTAGAAAAATTTCAACATTATGCTAAAAAATGTACAGCATACAAGTTATTCAAATGCTAAAGAGGACCTGGTGTACTCAGTGGCAAGGCACCTGCTTAGTATGCACAAGGCCAGGAGCTCCATCCCCAACACCAGGAGAAACACTGGACAGAGGCTGAAGGTGCCAGTGATCAGACCTATTGTTTGCTTCTGTCTACTTACTGGCACAAGACTTGACTCTGGGGATACTTCAACTGAAAAATGAGATCAGGCATTCCCCTACCAAGAATTACACAACTACTCAGAGAACTTATACGTGAAAACTAATGCACTATCAGGTAACAAATAGTGTTTAGTCAATAAATAACAGTCCTCCCCAACTTACTCAGGTGTTTCTGTTTTAATTTGAAAATGAAATTAGCAAGACTGTGGGTTCACAAAAGGAGATTTTATAGATTGTTAAGGTATTCAGCTTTTTGTTTTACTAATAATGACACACAAATGAACCAACAAAAACTCAATAAAGCTATCCTACACCAACAGGAATAAAATATCCTGTGTCTTTGCTTATCTTTCAACACTGCACACCATTTCTCATAGCTCCCAGTGCAATTTGAGAGGTCTTAAAGGGAAAACTATTTAGTTCTCAGTAAACACAGGCTCAGTGCAAGTAACATGAACCTCCACCTCAGTGTTAAACTAGAACACACACGCCATATTGCTATTCTTTCTAGGGTAAGGAATAAGAGTTCTGTGTTGGTTTCTAGTCACAATAACGAGGCCTGAACTGCCAGACAAACTAACACTAACCAGACTCAAGGACCACTCTTGTACTCGCCTACCCATTTAGTCAGGCTATCACACTAAAATTCCCATCGTTATTTCAAAGGAAAACCAGAAACATAAATCTCATCAAAAGAAACATAGCTGTACCCTGTAGGCATTTCTAATTCCAGGCCTTAGCACTTGGTGTTTTATTGCTGTCTAGCCCTTCTGGAAGAACTGTATTTCTTTGATGCAAACCCTCCTATCTTGGATGGGGTGTGGTACTGCCACATCACAGCATGAGTCACAGGCTGCCCATGCATCGTGCTGGTCTCTGAACTCTTCCCTCTGCTCACCCACAAACCTTGTTGTTTCCCAAGGCTCTACTGCACACCTTACCCGAAGCCTCATTTGTTAATGTTTAAAGTGACCTTTAGGACTCTGCTGGGCTCCATTTTCACTCAAAGCCCTGCGCCTGCTCCTGCAAATCTTATGCTTCCCCTGACCTGGCAGCATCAAACTACTCGCTGACACAGCCAAGCACTGCCATCTCCTTCTCTGAGACAGGACGATGCTTCAGAGTCTACACACATATACAGACTCCATACATAGGAACTACTCAGGAGTTCCCTGGTTTTTATACTTTATTTTTTCCTCATTCTGTCTAAAGCAAACAAATAAAACCCCTCTAATCACAATTAAGTGTTGTAGAATCCCCTTAAATAAAAAGATCCCTTGAGAAAAAACTTTGAAAATGAAGTAAAACAGGTACCTGTTAATTTAATTTAATAAGAAGCCTCCCAAAAGTTCAAACTTGGGAGTTTAACAGTTAAAGAGAATTTTCAAAGGGGAAATGCAAACTAGAGGAATTGAACTTCAAGTCTCATCACGGAGCACTGACAAGTACTTGGGAGGTCTGGGAATGCCTCCCACTGTAGCCAAGGTCATGGGCAGGTGGGTTCTCACCCTACACCCAGTCAGTACTCTGCATTCTTTACTTGCATCATAAACAGAAATGTAGAAAGGACAACACATCGAAACATGTAAGCTCCTTAAATGTTAACCAGGGAACCAGGGGCTGGAGAGAGAGCTCAATGGTTAAGAGTACTGGCTGCTCTTCCAAAGGACCCAGATTCAATTCCTAGCTCCCATATAGTAGCTCATAACTGTAACTCCAATTCCTGGGGATCCACCAGCCTCTTCTGATCTTCTTGGACATGATGCATGCACAAAGTACATACACATACATGCAGGCTAAATACCCACACATGTAAAATAAAATTATTTTTAAAAAAAGGTAACCAGTTACCATTTGACCTAGGAATTCAATTCCTAAATCTTTTTCTTTTTTTATAATCTTTTTCTTTATTTAAATTAAAAACAATCTTATTTTATGTATCAATCCCAGTTCCCTCTCCCTCCCCTCTTCCCATGTCCCTCACAGACCCCCCCATCCCATCCTTCTTCTGTTCCATAGAAGGGGTGAAGCCTTCCATGGGGGATTATCAAAGTCTGTCACATCACTTGGGGTAGGGCCTAAGCCCTCCCCCATGTGTCTAGGCTGAGAGTCAACTCCTAAATCTTTACTCAAGAGAAATGAACTGTATAGTATGCAAATTATGTCTCAATAAAATGGATAAAAAAACCTCACACAACATATTATGAAGTCATGAAACTCTCATAAAGGTGAGCAGAGAGGGGATGGGACATGGAACAAAAAAACAACAACAACAACAACAAAACACTAAATGCAACCCTGTAACTCTATCTGACCTTGTGCATAGATGCTACTGAGCTCAGTTTACGCCTCTGAACACAGAGAGTTCAATTTTAGGTTCTCCCTTGTGTCAGGGTTTCTATTGCTGAGATAAAACACCATAGCCATAAGCAACTTGGGAAGGTAGTCAGTCCATTCCTGAGAGAAGTCAGGGAAGGAGCTGATGCCGAGGTCATGAAGGGTTGCTGTTTACTGCCTACTCATCATGGCTTACTCAGTTTGCTTTCTTATAGAAGCCAGGACCACCAACTCTGGGAAGGTACCACCCACAGTGAGCTAGGCACTCCCACATCAATTGTCAATCAAGAAAATACACCACAGGTTTACCCACAGGCCAATTTGGTTGGGGCGTTTTTTCCTCAATTGAGGTTCCTTCTTCCAAAATGACCATAGCTTGTGTCAGATTAACTTATAAAACCAAACAGCACACACTGCCACTGCTCTTTTAGGTGTACATCCCAAGAGTCTATGACAAAGTCATAAATTACCTGATATGGACCTCTGTTTTACTACTGGCACTTTTGAGATTTTTTTCAATAATTTCAGCGAATCTGGTTGGTGTCATCTCATTGGCTGGAGACTCCATCAGCAGGCGGGCCAAGTTTTGCCCAGAAGCAAAGAGGACCCCTCTCTCCCAGGCCTCCTGATCGCCACTGTGGAAGAAACAAGTTATTCTCAAACAGCATCAAGAGCACTGACCTTTCCACTGCTAAGCAGGCACTTATCTTAAAAAAAATCAAGACTACAAACAAAGAATGATTGCACAAGACCAAGAGCCGTTCTGTGAGCAGAAAACGGGCCCTGCTGAGGAAGCAGGAGAGATCTGACTAAGCAGTTAGTGTCAAGGATTTCCCTGCATAATTAAAAATGTGTGGGTATAGGGGGGTGATAGGTATTTGTAGCTTTAAACCCATATGTAAAGGTTATGCAGAGATTCCTCCCCAGAGACCAGTTTACTACAAAGAAATGGCAGTCCCAAGTACTAACTGTGAGTTCAGCATGCAGCAAACATGAAGATGTGGAGTTGTAGGCTCTGCAGCCCCACTGTGCCTGGATAAAAGGCTCTAAATCCCAACCCACAGGACAGCAAGGATTAGCTTTCCCAGAGAATGCAGTAAGGGGAGTGTTGCATGGTCCTAGCACTTTGACAGCAGTTAATGTGGCAACATGGAGATGGGCAAGACAACAGCTGGCACCTCAGAATACTTACCATGTGCCACCACTTGACACATTTTATCTTTGGACTATCATACAATGGTATCAACCAGGAATGATGGCACATGCCTGTATTTGTAGCACTGCTGAGGCTGAGGCCGCAAGATTGTGAGTTCAAGGCAAATCTAAGGCTTTATAATGAGACCCTCTCTCAAAACACAAAACTCTACACCAGGATTACAACTCTCCTACACAAATGAACAAAGAAATACAGATTTGGGTCACTTAAGTAAGGTTATCCCAAGTAAGTGACAGAGAGGGAATTCAAATGCAAGTTGACTAGCTGCAGAACCTTCACTCCCAACCACTTTCTAACAGATGCTAACCACTGTTCTATACCAACAGCAACTCACTGGCCTCATGGCTCCTGGAACTGAAGATCTCTTATTGTCTATTCCTGACAGCTGAGACTTGTCCCTTCAAAACTAGAATAGGGCTGGAATAATTACCGTCAATTATCTTCTGAAAGCACCTCCCACCATGGGCCATAAAGGCAAAGATGGAATAATCTCATCCATATAGGTCTAGCATTTAGCATGTCAGGAGATGTGAGTTCAATGGGAAGTATTTGGATTAAAGCTCACTAGGATATTGTCAAGTCATTCCTCCATTCTGGGAAGAGCCAACATTGGGAATGCTTCTGAGTAACCAGCAGGCACATCTTAGTAACCAGCAAGTACATCTACTAAGATGGTTACCAGCAAGCACAGAAGATTCTCAGGAGCCACAGAGGAATCACACATGCAGAGCTGAGGGACAATTAGCACACTGTTAAGAGGGCTGAGACAGTAAGTAGGACAAGCACAAGCCACACAGCACTACTAGATACTGGAAAGCAGGCATGCTGTCAGAGTGCCTGGGAGTGCCACCCATAATCCCGGTTTCCTTCCATCACCTTCCATAGAGCTTCGCTGATACAGCCACCTTCTTTTTCTGCTTTAGGTCATCAAACTCATAGAGACCAAGCACTGCTCCTTCTGCAGCAGCCTGAGCATCTCCACAGGGATCCACCTCCACTGAAGGCAGCTCCAGGTCTTGAACCTGCCTGCATCCCGCTTCAGAAGCAGAAAAGTGAGTCAGCATAAAGCAGGCACGAGCCGGGGTGCCAGGGGAACAGAACTGGCAACTGATGGTTCTGGCTCTAAATTTTCATTTCCGCTTCCATTAAGTGTGGATGGCTATGTGCCTCACAGTCCAGAGGTCAAAGGCACATCCCACAAATGGGGAGACCCTTAGTGGGAGGCAGGTATTACTAGTAGCATTTCTGAAGCACTAGAGTTTGCTGTTAAAGCTTCCCAACTGCCAGATTAAAGGGACCAAGAAATGATGGCATTGACTTTATATCCAGGCAACTGAGCAAAGACCATCATTAACAGCATTTATTACGAGTCTGTCAGCAAAAACTCTCAAATAAAAGTTAGAAATACCTACTTATCTCTGAAAGTAAACTTAATGATATATCCAAGAACAAGGATTAGTTAAACAAATTACCACTGCCTCAGTGTGTTTCTCAAAGTGCATTTGGGGCAGTCATCCTGTGGGAAAAGCTCCCCTTGCTGCTAAGCAACAAAGTGACTCAAGGGCATCGACCTCAATTCCCCCAAACCACCTATCAAACCCTCTGGGACAGGCCTGTACACTTCGCTAGCAATGAATAAGCGTCCCACATTCTGCTCCTGTTTTCTTTGATTTGTAAATATGACAATTCCATGTCATCCAAAAGTTGGGCAACACCACAGTTGCATTACAAAATGGAAAACCATCAAGAATCACAATATCTGATAAAATACAGTTATAAGAACTTCCCAACAGCAAACAGAAATAGTAACAAGAATGTCACAAGCTAGCCTCTTTCCCTAGGTGAGGCTCAGCATGTTCAGACACACTGACCTTGCTGAGACACTGCATGAGAGCGTGCAGCGAATGGACAAGAAGAGGGAAGGCTGTCTTCAGGAAGGGACCCTTGGAGCCTTCAGCTATTAAACACAGAGCAAGCAAACCTGCAACAGCAGCTCTGATGTTTTCTTTGCCTTCGTTCCAGTTCTCCTGGTCATCAACTCCAGCTGATCTCTTGCCAAGGCCGACCACCACCACACTGGGGAAGTCCTGATCCACAAGCACACCCAGTTAACCACTTTGAATTCTTTAAACAGCCCCTTTCCAGGAGGGAATGCTAGAGGGAGCCACACTAAGTTCAGCAAGGAAGAGCCCTGTGTGCTGATAAGTTCAACAGATGGGAAGGCAGAGTGAGGGTAATTCTCCAAACAACTCTGCATGGGGGCGGTCTTCCTCCACATTGAGGAAAACAAGCTAGAAGGAGACAGCCATTCTCCTTTATGATCATAAGGAATGCTTCTGCTAACATAGGAATGAAACTAAGATCAGGCAGAAAAGTTCAAGCAGGACGAGGCAGCCACAGTAATGGGCATATAGGTCTCAATATGGATTTTGCCAGATGAATATGACTTTCATTCCATACCTCATGTAGACCATAGAAGGTTCGGGTTTTGCCTGCCTTCAGAGGAGGTCCAGATCTAAAGCAAGAGGAAACGGATGTTTTAAACATTATAGTTTGTGCTGATCTCTTGGTAAATGAACTAAGCATTAGCGAGACACTAGCTAACCATTTCTATTCTGTATTTTACTTAACAGGGCTTTTCGAAATGCATACAAACCAGACTCTTCAGAGTTGACCTGGGGTCAACTTCCAGGTACATGGGACAGGAACATCAATTTACAAACAACGGGGAAGCCAGGTGAGATAACACATGCCTGTAATACCAGAACTTGGGAGGCTGAGGAAGGACTGCCGCAAGTTTGAGGCCACCTGAACAGTGAGTTCTGGTTCAGCCTAGGCTAAGAAATGTGGCCATGTCTTTTTTTTTTTAAAGCAATGCCATGCAAGGGCAAGGGGATCTTAGCACTGGATGGTGGCTGTACTAGATGATGGAAACCTTTCTAATAAAAGAAGCAACACCAAAATGAAAGCCTGAGTGGTGACCAAAGTGGCTGACTTGACAGCACTGTCTCCAGCTTAGGTGTTTCTCATATATTGTTTACTGAGATAGATGAGGGACATGGCAATTTCTAAACAAAAGAGGGACTCTATAGTAGCCAGAGGCTTAGGCTGTAGCCCATGGTGACCCTGCAGCAAGACCTGTGCATTCTCGACTCTAACAGGTCAGCTTCTGGATTAATGATTTAAGGTACACATGCAGGGCTAGGAACTAAGAGGGGGTACAAGTCCTATACTATCAGATATCTAGGAGAGGTCAGATCTTAGATCCTCCCCAGGCCAACTGGATTTAGGCTGTATTCTTGCTAATCAGATGATCCTCTTGTACTTTAACATTTGAAAAGCTATCAAAGTCCAGCCAAGCATAAAAGGGCAAGACCTTAGGTGGTGGTTAAACTAGTTGAAAACATTTAGATGCAGGCGCCAGACAGGAAAGCAGGAATTGTGAACCCAAGCCTAGGGAGTGGGCTGAGGAAATTGGTTCCTTTCTGGATCCCTGTCAATGCTGCATAATAAGTTTGTGAGCTGGACAGAAACCACGTGACTTCCCAGAACTACAGACCCACCCACACTGAAACAACTGACCAGCTTCTTCCAGAACCTACTTTCACTTCCAGAGAACCAGCTAGCAGGGGCCCCATTAACTTTACTGGACACACAGAGAAGAATCTTTCAATCTTGGGGCCTTTAAGAACTGGAACACCGCCCTGTGCCACAGCACACACATTTAATCCCAGCACTCCAGAGAATGAGGTAGGTGGATCTCTATGATGTCAGCCACCCTGGTCTACATAGTTCAGGACAATCAGAGTTACACAGTGAGACCCTGTCTCACAAGTCAACAAACACAGACACAAAAGAGCCCCAAATGTAGTTAGTAATACTTACACGGTCAACATTTCTCTCAGCTTTCCAGCCACCAACTTATTAAAATTCTCTCCTGCACTTGTAAACTGTGGTGTGTCATCATCTTTATCTTTGGAATAAATTCCTAAAACAAGACCCTGAGAAAATTAAGAAAGAGGAATACAGTCAGAATACATCCCTTAGAAGGCTATGACTGCCCAAACTCTAGAAGGGACAAATAATTCCATTAAAACTGCGTCCTCCCCAAGGGGTAAGAACAGAGGCAATCAGCAGAGCAGCAGCCCCTACTTCAGCAACCAAAATCCCTGCCAGGGCTACTGGACTGGGGTATGTGAGACATACTGGGCCCAACCCTAAACACAAAAATCACTTGTTACAGATACACTGACTCAAGGTTACAATCCTTCTTAATGCTTTATGTTTTGACTACGGCCAGTCACTGGGTTGGCTGCAGGACTTTGTGCCTGCAGAAGTGTCAGGGGAATGCTCAGAATGCCTGCGATTTTGGAGCACTTCACATTTCAGGTTAGGATGCTCCCATTGTCTAGTAAGCAGCCTGTCAATCAGGTAGGGGGAAGTACACAACTTTGCAGGGAGGGCAGAAGCAGGAACGTCTGTTAGGCACTTAGTGGTGTGACGCTTTATCTCCCTCACCAGTGCCAGGCCCCACACACCTGAAAGAAAGATGTAAAACCACTGCTCATTTGCTTTCATATGGCAATCGATGGCTTTTAAAATACTGTTTCCCATGCTGGGTGGTGGTGGCACAGGACTTTAATCCCAAGTACCCAGGAGGCAGAGAGAGCACATTACACAGTCCAGGTGGACTTCTATGAGTTCAAGGCCAGTCTGGTTTAAGAACAAATTCCAGGACTATACCTTGTCTTGGAAAAAACCTGAAGCCTAGATCCTGACACACTAGCTCCTGGGTGGTAAAATTTTGACAATGCACATGCCTTCTTTCTGTCCTTGGTCCTTTCCAAAATGCCCAAGTACTCGGGCCACATGGCACCCCATCTTTCTGCCGAAGAAATCTGGCTTCCTTGGCACAGTAACTACCAGCTTCTAGCTTTCCCAAAATTGTTCATTCCTGGGGTTACACGAGACCAAGCTAAGGCTGTCCACTGTTACTGGGCAGACTGGTCACAGGGTTGGAAATCACACTGACAGGTGTCTGCCTAATCCTGCTATCTGTGATAACTGAACGGGACCTGAGCACAAGTCCACCTGGAACATTCCTCCCTCACCAGATCTCAAAGCATGACTCATTCCTATGAGCCAGCACCCTTCCAGAGCAGACCCTTTACATCTAAGTGTCCTTCACAATTTCTCTCAGCCCAGCTAAATGGAAATGACGCTCTTTCAATTTCAAGATGACCTCTCTGACAAAGCCCTTTTCCCTAAAAAGAAAATGCTTTTCTCCAAAAACCCAATCCAGCAGCTTACTCCCCCGGGGCCTTTACTGACATTTCTCTTCGGAAGTGTGTGTGTGTGTGGGGGGGTTGGTTCTGGCCCTGTGATTGGCTACTCTGGAACCTTAGCGGACTTTGGGACAATGCTACGGCTATCCTTTCTAGGATTTCGACAAGGACTCAAAGGATCGATGAAGTAGGCTCGTGTAATTTCTCGGAGCTCAGTTGGATGGAGGACTCAGTAAAGTGGAGCGTGCAGTTCTGATTGGACTTCAGAACCCAGCACTATCCAGGCTGGAGGAAAGAGCGCGCCCTCAGCAAACAGCTCTGGCCATCCTCGTCGCAGGCCAGGCTCAGGCTGGTGTCCTGCAAATCCTGGGAACTTTTCTGTTCAGCTCATTTGTGCAACTTAGCGCGTCCGGTCCTACACACCGCGGCCTGGACCAGCCCGGCCTCCCCGCCGCCCGAGGTCAGAGCACCCGCGGCCGCCCGGGTGAGCCGCCGCCACTCACCTTCGTCATGTCTGCGGTGGAGAGACCCCGATCCCAGAGACGTCTCACTCCCAGGCGGCGGAGCGCGACTCGCGCGGCAGCCGGAAGAGGCAGCAGAAACATCTTCTCGGCTCGGCCCACGTCACCGCCCTCCGGAGAGAGCACGTGGCGCGAGGGTGGGCGCGCGCCCGGGGGCGGGACCTCCGGGGTCTCGGACCCGCGCCTGGGAAGCGGAACAGGTGCTGGGGCGGGGCGTGCGGGTTCCTAGGGGCGGGGCTTTCGGCAACTGGGCGGAGACGCGCTAGCGCGCCTTGCGGGCGGGGTGTGGTGATGGGGGCAGGCCATGGGGCGGGGCTTTCTATGGTTGGGGGTAGGCGTCGTGGGTCGTGATTTTGCGTTGTCAGGGGCGTGCGGGTCTGCGTGCGCAAGCGTGTGCCAGAAGCCTTGAGAAGTTGGTGTGGGACAGATTAATAGAAGTATGTGGATTTTATTTAACAAGTTTGTGCATACATGGAAGCCCTTGCTGAAAAATGAAGATCCTGAAAGCGGTTAGGTGTAAGTGCTTATATTGAACAAAGAGTAATGGCTCTGAAAAAGTAGCTAAGGGTAAAGCAAAATTAAAAGAATGTAAGGATTAGCTAAACAAGGTTCGTTTGTACAAATTTCTGTCTTCCTTGACTCCTCACCTCTGGTGATAGAATTTGGGGATAGTGCAGTTTATATGGGAGTTTTATGTCCTGCATTGGGTTTGGGAGACCCAAAAATAGTTCTTCTTGAATTTGTTTCTGTTCAAGTTGCCTTTAGCGCAAAATATTTATGCCCAAATGGCATACTTAGGGTAGCATATCTCCCATCCTTGATTATCTAGTAGGGGCATAAAGTACTGTGATTACAAAACTGTTTACAGATTGTCTTATGCAGAGTCGTGTGGATATGGGCTATCATCGTACCGGTCCTGTAGGCCCCATCCCCACCACCACCAAGGCTCGTGTCAGAAGCTCGTGGTCTACTAGGAGGAGGTGAAACATTTAAGACTAAGACGTAGGACCTAGTAGAAAGAAATTGGAAGGTTTTGTTGTAATCCAGGCAAACGTGGCCCCGCCCCTTTGGGACCTGGAATAGGGTGCTAACCCTGCAGCACTGGCAGAGTCACCTCCTGGATCTCCCTTCTCTCCTTTCCCTTCCCCACTCCCTTCCCTTTTCCCAGTAAACTTTCCACGTAAGTTATGTCTGCAGATCTCTCACCCGCAAATCTCTCCTTCCTCTCACCAGACATGTGATCCTCCAAAGGTCCCACCTCGCGCTGTATTCAGAACAGGTTTCAAGTGTGCTCTTGAGAGAAATGCTGTGAAGAGGCATTCCACCATGTGCTTTCAGCATAATTGTTATCACTGGCCCTAAACTTACGGGTCAGATGACGATGGAAACCTCGGGAGCTATGAACTAAAGAAAATCTTTCCTCTTTTTAAGCTTTAGAAATTTCTGTCATGGTGACCAAAAGGTTACTAACGTAATACACTCAAGTTCCTTCAGCCTCCTTCATTTCCAATGTCATTTCTTCCAAGAAATGTCTCCACCCCCTCCCCATGAGGGTTATGTGTCTCCTTCTACTCCCAAATCAACCAGTCTCAAAGAGCTAATCTGTTGTATCCTGCTCTTGTGAGGGGCTGTGGCTTTCACCTTTGTGCATTTGTGCCAAGATCTGGTCTGTATCCAGGGCCTATATAAACAAGGTGCTCATAAATATTTGAATGAATGTATGATCTAAGTCCAGTTGAGACAGCAACATTTAATTAAAGAACAGGACAGGTGCCAGTGTGACTTCCTGATAATAAACTGCATGAGAAGGCAGTAGATAATTAAAAGGGACATCAGGATCAGGAAGAGTGTGGGAGAGTGTTTATTTGGCATGGGGTGGAGAGATCAGGTCTGCCTGAAATAAAAATAGAGTAAAGAGAGTGTTGCTGGATTAAAGAGACTCTTAAAAGGCAGGAAGCAACATTTATTGTGGATGAGGGCGGCAACAGAGAACCAAAGATGATCTTAGCAGAAGATGCTGCAGGGAGAGCTGTGTTTTAAGAGATGCATTGGTTAAACACATTAGAGCAGTGTCAGTGCCACATTAAGGAAAGAAATTAAAACCCTTCTCTTTTGGAGTAATCTGACCAAGAGTGAACCCAAGTTTGAATTCCTGGCTTATCTGCCTGTGTCTATGTTTTTTGGATGGTCTCCAGTCTGTCTGATGTTATGAGCCTGAATCTGTGTCTGCCTTGGTGCTGTCTTGTGAGTCTGTCCCCATCATAATGCTTTGCTCTCTCTTTTATTGAACAGTGCAGAAAGCATTACAGGAGGAAGGAATGAGGGAGACTTTACAGAACTCTTTCACACTTTACAAGGAATTTAAGTTCCCTGATTCTACCTGACTCAGGAGACCTCAGGAAAGTAAAGATAATAAAACAGTCTTACAATCTCTGTCCATGTTGTTTTCAACACTTACTTGTTTTATAAGGTTATTTTTGACCTCTTTAATGTTTTCAGCAGACGATTATCATAGCACGCACACAGACACATGTATATTGCTCTCCGGGTCAGGGACATGGAAGCACACATAACTTATGTAAAAGCTATGTGTTGGCTTGCCTTGCTCATGTGGTCACATGAGAAATCCAACACAAGTAAGGCCAATTGTCACATGGTTCTCTTTAAGGCAGGCTAAACAAAGAGACTGTTATATAAGAGGACATAAGTCTGAAGTCTTAAATGATTTCAAGGTGAATTAACTGGGCTGTGAGGTACAGGAAAAGTTCTAGTCTCTTAGAATGTGTAGTGGTTCGAAAGGAAATGCCCCCCCACAGGCAGTGGCACTATTAGAAGGTGTGGCCTTGTTGGAGAGCATGGCCTTGTTGGAGGAAGTGCATCAATGTCAGGGTAAGCTTTGAGGTCTCCTATGTTCAAGCCACGCCCAGTATGGCATTCCCTCTTCCTGTTGCCTGCCAGTCTGGATGTAAAACTCTCAGGACCATGTCTGTCTGCACAGTGCCATGTTTTCCACCATGATGATAATGGACTAAACCTCTGAAACTGTAAGCCAGCCCCAACTAACTGTTTTCCTTTATAAAAGTTGCTATGGTCATGGTGCTTCTTCACAGCAGTAGAAACCCTAACTAAGACAGAATGTAAGAAAGATTTTCATTGGTGTCCGGGGTAAAGAAAGACAGGTCAATAATGGGGAGATCATAAATGAATAAATTTTTGTCACTCATACACTGTGAAAAGTGGTTGATTCTGTGAATTGTACCCCTACTATTGATCTTTCCTGTTACCTTCCAGTAATAGAAACATAAAAAAAAAGATACAATAGTATCCAAATAATACTAGTCTAGATTCTTGCAATAGGATGGTTCTGTGGTTTCAGGTCAGAGGAAAGAATGTAAGTTTGTTTCTACCTCCAAGGCAGCCCCTCACTCCATCTAGCCACTCATGCAGTCATTTGAAAATATGTATTGAAAGACTGTGGGTGAGCAGGTCTTCAGGGGGAAGATGAGGAATATCAACCTCCATTAGACACCCAAGTGGAGACGAGAGGGCTGGAAATACAGTTTAACAACACAGTATTTGACCAGAATCCTCGTTTTAATCCTCATCGTTGAAAAACAAAGGCCAACAGTCTCATCCCCACCTCTGCAGCAGGACATCCATGGGTGGCAGCCTTCCCTGGCCCCTGCTCCCATCTCCTGTGGATCCTAGGACTTTTCCCCTTCTTACCTTCCTCCACACACTTGTTGATTTGTCCCAGATCCCAATTCAAGGACCACTTCTCTCAGGACAACAGTAGGCTGAAGTCAGACCCCCACCTCTCCTACTGCTCCTGAGATCCAATCCCCCTTCCCCGCTCCAGTCTCATCCCCAGCTCTGTAGCAGGAAACCTGCTGAGATCTCCCTTCCTTTTTTGACCCTATTCCCAACTGATCTCAAAGACCTTCTCCCCTAATCTTCATTCCCCAAATAATCCCATTATCCCAGCAGCTGAGTAGGCCAGGAAAATAGGCAACATACAGCCAGCACATTCTCCAGAAATTCAGAGAGGAAACAGAAACCAAGGGACAAAATTCCCACCTAACAAAGACAACTGCAGAAATCAGTACCTAGAACTATAATCATCCCAAACCCAGATATGTTGATGTCAGGACAAAAACACAATCAATAACAGCCAGAGCACTATGTCTCCACTAGAGCCCAGCTATCCTACCACAGCAGGCCAAGTATATTACAACATACTTGAAGCACAAATAAAAGACCTTAAAACCAACCATATATGAAGGTGATAGAGGTCCTTAAGTGTAAAAAGTAGCTTTTTCTATGAGTGGAGCCTTTCTGCCCGCCTGGTTCTAGATCCGCAATAGTCCCAAATAAACACACAGGAGGCTATATTAATTATGAAGCTGTTGGCCTTGCTTGTTTCTTACTGGCTAGCTCTGACTTAAGTAATTACCCCATAATTGTTAATCTAAGTATTTCTCTTACCAGAGAATGGTTCCGGGCTTCCTACCTCCATGGCATTACATCTTGACTCTCCTGTGTTTCTCCTTCCCAGAATCCTCCTGGACTCCTAGTCCCTCCTATCTAGATTCCCTATAGGCCAGACAGTGCTTTATTGACAAATAACAGGCAAATAACAGGACTTCCCCAACATCTCCTCTTTTCTGTTTAAACAAAAAGAAAGCTCTTAACTTTAACATAGTCAAATCATATATAACAGAACAGTTATCAAGTAAGAATACAGTTACAATATTTTGTCTATCAACATTCAGCAAGATTTAAAGAAAATATCATCCATCCCATCCTTGTGAGTCTAAAGTTCTATATGTAGCTTATCTTTTATCATAAATAAGGAAAACTATAATTATAACTATCTGTCTTCAACTCCATCAAAGACCACAGAAGGATAATATATAAACACTAGGATTGACAGAGACATCTTGCTGCCTGGGAAGTCACCTGAAGTTCCTCTGTAACGTTGGGGCATCCATCTTCAGCCCATAGGCCACAATGTGTCTGTAACACTTCTCAGCAAAGCAGGAAATTTCAAACTGTCCATCTGCATTGGCAGTCTGTCAGTCATTTTTCTGTGTCTGCAGAAAGTCTGGTAGACTCTTCCATGAAGCAGGAACCTTGTAAGACTGAGTTTAGCAGTCACTTTCCTGTGGGTCCTGCATGTCCAGTTTATACAGCAACAGTC